TTTAAAAATAATTTTTTTTTTTTTTTTTTAAAAATGCAATAGATACATTTAATGAATATTTAACACAGCATGAGACTGATCATAATAATTAAAAGTATTGGACATGAAAACATGATGTTTTGGTTTAATCATTAATAATTTGATTTGTTATATAAGACGTGGATTTATTGGCTGAATGAACTGACATGATTTGTGTTTCTGAGGTTATCGAGCGAACACTCACTCTGATCGTGGTCTCAGTAAATGAAGGAGATGAGTTCAGACACTGATGATGGAGTGATGCTGTTTGTTAGTGTAGAAACACCTCCTGCTCACACTGGACTCCACTGTGAACTACAAGAAGCTGATTAAAAAAGAAAAGAGTGATGAATAACGAGCATTAGAGATGAGGAAAATAGAGAAGAAAGAGAAAGAGATAAAATGTCTATAACTATGTATATATCTATATACACACATATATAAATATAAATATATTTGTACATATGTGTGTATATATACATTTATACACACATATGTACAAATATATATGAAAATCCTGAAAAATAATAATTAGGGACTGTTCATTATTTATGGAGGGGGGGGGGGGGGGGGAAAAAAAGGGGAGGGCATGTCAAATAATTTTTTCAGCACAGGAAAAGGAATTTAAATTTAAATAGTTGTATTATTCATTTATTTATTTATTTTTACCACAGATTTTTAAAGAAAACACTGAAGGGTGTTTTTTTAAAAAAAAAATCACCACAGTGACACCATTACTCATGACAGAAACTGTAAAAACAGAAATGATCACTGGATTTTAATGTGCGACAAACGCTTCTCATCCACTCATTTTCCATGACCCCTTATCCCCCAACACTGAGCGCGTTTACATGCACACTAATAAACCGATCATTATCTGATTTCTGGAGTTACCTGATTATTCAAGTGGTCATGTAAACAGCATAATCCGATAGGCTTTGTCAGATAAAAGTCATTATGTGATTATGAGAAATCAGATAAACACACCTAGCTTTTTCCCCAGTAGTCAGATTACTCGGTGCATGTATACCCTTTAATCTGGTTTCTTTCAGGTTTTGCTATTTTATACTCCCACTCCACTACATTTTAGAGGGAAATATTGTACTTTCTACTCCACTACGTTAATCTGACAGCTTTTGTTTCCTTTCAGATAAAGATTTGACATAAAATAATATATTTTTATATTCTCAGTGTTTAAATTGTCACTTTTATTTTATCTTACTTATATGTTATGCACTGTGTGTGACAAGTTTATATACAATACACTTGTATATTGCACTTTGCAGTACTTTTACTCCGAATCTACCCAAAGTATGTAAAACTGGCTCCACATTGATAAACTACACATTAGAATGCTCTCACATGTATTTGTTAATGATAAAAACAAACAGTACTGTAAGAATATAAGCTGTCAGCATGATGAGTGCTTTATTCTGCAAATATATGACTTGGTATTATTTTCAAGGATATGAGTACCTACTGTAACAGGAAGTTTGAGTTTTATATCATGTACTTGGGGAGAAATCCAACTGAAGGACTGAATCATGTAAACCAGGTTTTTCTGATTATCAGATTATTGAAGTGCACGTAAAAGCATCAAATCGGATTATTACCATTACCTGATTATTCCCAGTTATCTGATTATTGAGCACATGTAACCGTGCTCATTCACACCTACGGACAATTTAGAGTCTCCAGTTAACCTGCATGTCTTTGGACTGTGGGAGGAAGCTGGAGCACCTGGAGGAAACCCACACTGACACAGGGAGAACATGCAAACTCTGCACAGAGGGGATTGAACCAGCAACCCTCTTGCTGTGAGGCACAGTGCTAACCACAAGACCACCGTGCCGCCTGAGTGAAGAACAGTATCTTATATTAGTAAACTGAATGTCTTCATGTTTTGGACTCTTGGTCCTTCATGTGATTTGTTCCCACTGTGACAGATTAATGATCTTATTCTTTGAGTTCGTGTTTTTAGACTTATGTAAATAAAACACTGGTTTAAATGTTATTTTTTAGATAATGAATGAATAATCATGTTCCCAGCTGCAGATAAAGGCCAGTGTGTATTCACAGTGTGTCTCTGTGAGGCAGGTCCTCACATCGGTTCTGTTTCTCGCTCCTCTGCCGCAGAAACGAAAGTGAAACTAGGCTGAAGCTCAACGACGCTCCGCCGCCTGTTTGTGTCAGTCAGTCGGTGTGTGTGAGTGTGTGTGAGTGAACTGGACAGCAGCATGGATGAACCCGAGTGTCTGCCGGTGACCGTGGAGGGGGACTGGAGTCCAGCTCAGACCAAAAGCATGAAGAACAAACTGCAGCTGTACTTCCAGAGCAAGAAGAAGTCCAGCGGAGGAGACTGTCGAGTGGAGGCGGAGGACGGAGCTCCGAGGGCCGCCGTGTACTTCAGATCAGAGGACGGTGAGTTTTTATTTCATCATCCGACTCACTGCGGAGCTTTTTACTGCATGTTGATGGGTTCAAGTTTCACACAGAGTCCGTTTAAACACTTTATTTCTGCGCGTCATCATGACGGATGAGCCACGAGCAACAAACAGGATGTGACTTCATCTGCGACACAAACTCAGGAATTAACATGTGACACGTCACAGTCTGTGTTGCTTTACACTCTCCAACTTTCCCAAGACACATTAAACTGATCTCAGCTCAGACTGTCTGGTGAAGTTAGTTCATAAACAACACGCAGATTATCAGCTGACTTCCCAGCATGCACTTCACCTTCCCAAGCCACTCCTCATGTTCACATGATGAGTCACAGCAGGAGATCAAAACACTGAACATGGTGTCGGGACAGGAAACACTGATCTGTGGATGTAAACCTGCAGAAATAAAATAAATTGAAATTAAAATTACAGTGAAGCAGTTTCAGTGATGTCACGTTCACACCAAACACCATGTGAATTTTCACGTTGAGTTACTCGTGCGACTTTGAACGAGGAATGTAACTCACCAGTTTCATCACGATATGATATCACATCGATTGTCTGGAAAACAACACGATATTTGCTGATATTACAAAGTCTGCCATGATACGGTTTTCTGTTTGATGAGTCCGGTCTCACTCTGAAGTTGTCGAAATCCAGCGCTCAGACAGTGACCTGCAGCGCCAGAAACCAACGGAAAAAGGCGCCCTTTAATGTCGACATGATACGTGGCCAGTTATCGTCATAGTTCAACTGCGCCCAGGAGCTTCAGAAGGACACACAGTGGGACAAGGACGAAGTTAAGGCGGCGAAGTTAATGTGGGGCGTGTGTGAGGGCGGGGTGATGGATGAGTCCAACAAACACCAACTTGCACCTGAGAGACTGAGACTTAACGTATCCACATGTTTTTGTCGTTGAAGAAAAAAAACATCAGTTGGTGGTGTTGTACTGACATAGAGCTTTTATTTTGAAAGAGACTGTATCAAACTGTACATTTCCTGTGAAAACAGAAGTGTATTTTGAAAACAGACAATGCATGTAACAGGCTGAAGTTGACACGGCGTCCCAGAACATCAACAACCAACACACCCAGGGTACCTTGGACGCCATATGTGGACGTGGAAAGTCCATGACCAAACGTGGACATGTGACGAGGTCACAGTGAGGATGTGATGATGTGATGTGATTCAGGTGCCTGCGATCGATATGAGACATTATCTGATGATTTAACACAGTCTGTTACAGAAGAAGCTGCCGCCATTTTCTTCTATGCTTTTGGCAAGATACAAACAACACGTAAACAATAAGAGCAGTAAACACATGGGATCAGGTAACCCTCAGGGCTCTGTGTCAGATATCTTTTCATTTGAACCCAAACCATCATCTTTGTCATTAAACTTCAGAACTATCTGTCTTAAAGTCCTGAGGACAAACTTCTCCAAACAGCCATAGACCCTTTTAGGGCCGACATCACGGTGACATCACAGTGACATCATGTGATCACCTGGAGGTGCAGCTGCCTCTCCCCCACAGGGCTGTAGGCTCCATAGGAGTGTTAAAATGTGTTTGTCTTGTTGTGTTATTGGGAGCCAGAATAGAAGGAGTCATGGCTCAAAACCAGCCGCCACTGCCCGTCAACAAAAACAAAGACAACTATGGTTAAATGTGATAAGACCAAAGGACTGGACGGAGGCCATCATCAAAAATGCTCACATGTGCAGCGCACACTTCATATCAGGTTAGGGAAAAAGTATTTCCTGTTGTAGGGATGAATAAGGTTATGTGTATTAAGGGTTATCATGTCCACCTCATCAGAAACTGGGGAGGGATTAAGAGGAAGATTGGATTTCTCTGCAACGCTAACTTTTTAGCACATTAGCTAACGTTAGCTTCCATAGCAAAACAAACAAGTGTGGTCCTCCTTTGTAAGATTGGCTTCCTGTGACATCATCCATCCACTGAGTGAGAGCATACGGGTCGGCCAGTCTGGTCCCGTTGGTCAGTGTTTACTTATTCCAGTAACACTGGCGGTCCCGGAGAGTGAGTGACCTGACATGGTGCGTTGGTAAATTCAGTCTGACGCTCTACACTAAAATGAGAGCCCTGTTGGTGGAAGAAACGCAGCGTTATATTTCTACATGAATGAACCAACGGTTGAGTTAATCACACATTCACTCTGCTCTGCATACGGCTAGTGTACAGCGTACCTGAGCAGGTAGTGTACTTCCTGGTGTCTCTGTAGACGGTGATATCTGCTGGTGACCTGATTACAATAAATAACTGAGTGTTTGATGTGATTTCAGTGAGAGAGCGAGTCCTCGCCAGGAAGAACCATGAGATCATTCTGGAGAATCGAACCGTGACGTTACGTCTGATTTCTGCAGCTGTAAGTAGAGACGATGTCACAGACACGTTTATATTATGTAATATATAACATACACAAGCTTCAGTGTAATAACTGTGACCTCTGACCTCTGGGATTTGTAGTTCTACGGTTTTTCAAATTTTATGTTAAAGACTACATTTCATGCCAGCCTCAGGTTACACCTTAACCTTTCCTCCAGCGCCACCTTCAGGACCAACTTCACATGTTCAGCTGCCCCCAGTGAGATTTAGGGGCACCAGGAGAATTTAATTTTAACTCCACTTAAAAGTTTTCTCTGCACCTTTCGACCACGTCTCTCAGTCTGTGTCAGTGCGTGGAGCTCTGTCAGTCGACCTGACGTCAGTTCCTCATTATTCTCTGCTCTTGAAATAAAAGCTTCAGTCAGACATTGATTGTGAAAGGATACTCTGAGCAGTGTTCAGGCTGCGGCGTAAACATCCTGCAGGAGGAATATTATTACTGTTGGAGGAAGGAGGCTGAACAGGGGTGTGTCTACATTTCTTCATGCCACAGTGATTAACACTGCTGTTGAAAAGAATCACACTCTGCAGAAGGAGGTGGTGTTGTGTTCAAGGACTGTCTTTACCATATGAGACTCCAGAAAAACACAGGTGCTCTTGAAGGAAAGGGTCAGCACATGGGCATAGGAATTCAGTTTCTGAGTTAGTGACAGAGCCAGAGAGCCGACTGAAAGAGGCCGAGACAGAGAAATGTGTTGAGGAGGAGGAGAGAGAAAGACAGAGAGCCGACTGATGAAGTCATGTCATTGGAGGACATGTTCAAATGTCACAAATTTTATAATAAACAGTTCAGCTGAATATATTTTGTTTGGCTGACAGTTCTTCTGATCACTGACAAAACACTGATTGGACATAAAGTCAAAAAATAAAAGTAACTTTGAGAGTATCAAGTTACTTTTGCCGTTTTCTCGTAGCTTAGCTGCTACATTTCTCTGTGGATAGCTTCAGTGTAGTGAAACCTTATTTAGATGTAGTGGAGCTGAAGCTTCGCTCACTACATTCAATATTCAGGCGTCCTCCTTCAATAACGTTCCTACAGTCCCTGAACACAACACTGACTGTGTGTGTTTGGCTGGTTTAAAGTCAGTCACCTGCTCCTTCTATAACACAATAGCCTACATGTCTACATGTAAATGAATTCCCTGGATGTGTGACGGCAGCAGGAAGTTGGACTTTAACTCTTCGTTCTTGTTGTGTTGTTGCTGTCGTGGACTCTGACGTCTATGTTTCAGACCAACTTCCCCAAAATTCAGCCGCACAGATTTGTAATAAAGTTTTGTCAAACATCAGCTGGAGTTTATGAAGCTTTAACAAACAACATCCAGGATAAAAATGATCAAATATCATCTTAACAATCAGCTGACTTCCTGAACATAAACCAGTGAAACATACTGCTCTGTGGTTTTATAGTGAGGTGAAACATTTACACAGTGAGCAGCTGTAAAACCGTCCTGCACTGGGTTGGACTCTTATATTTAAGACACATTTTCATAGACATCAGGGGCTGGATGCACAAAGCAGCTTAAGTTTGACTCTTAAGGTTTAGTTTTTCCTTAGCTGAGGAAATTACTTAACGGTGTTGCACAGAGTCTTTGAAGTCCAGTTCAGACCAAAGATTCTCGACGAGACAAAACCGTTTCAGGACGTCTCAGAGAAAAGTGTCAGCGGTGTGAACTGGCCGGTCTGAGCTGGACTCAAGCCGGCTGATGGTGTCACCTGACACTCAGCTGGTCAAATGGTGGTTTTAAAGCACGTCACCTGTTTCAACAGCCAATCAGCTTGTAGTGAAGTCAGCTGGTCAAGAAAAGATGACCACAGACGGCGTGTTGGTTTGCTGCAGCAGGTGCTCCGTCCCCACAGAGCCCTCTGTTTCTGTCCTGCTTATGCCCCGCCCACACACACACATTCTCTCTGACTGAGGTCATCACATTTTGGGTTTACTTGACCTTATACTTTATTCTGTTTAACTTCGACGTGTTGGCCTCGTTCGTGGACACTTTTTTGTCCTGTCGAGTGGCCCTTGCAGAGTGCAAAGAAGATGATCGAACTTGACTATCTAGAGGAAGTAAAAGTCGTAACAAGGTTTCCATCTGTGAACATGAGGAGGGATAATTTGAACAACACACTAAGCCATGTTAAAACAAGTTGGCAGCCATTTCTGCAAGTCAGTCTGCAGCTGATCTGACACCAAAGTGGACAAGGTCCAAAACCTGATCAGATTTTATGGTTGAAACTTAATTTATGATTATTAATGTTTGTAGTTTAATATGACGACAAATTTGACCAATTTTGAAATTCAAGAAAAGACACTGTTAATTAGAAATCACTTGTTTGAAGACGACTGGACTTAATTATCGTCTCATTTGAGGACATTGGGACTTTATAATATGTTTAGTTTTGTACTCAGCAGATCCTGCTGATCTTAAATTGCTGGGAGAAATTAAAATGCATACCAAACAAGAGTTCAGGTCTCAGGAGGACATTGATTCCAGCTGCGCTCCTGATGAGAAAATCAAATCAAAATGTTGTGGCAGATGTTTAAATCCTGGCAGCTGCCACAAATAAAAGGTTGAGTGGGAAATGCTGCATATGCTAATTATGACTATCACTAGGATATAATGATAAAGGAATGTCATTTTATGTCCAAGAGGTCAAAGGTCAATGTGACATCATAATGTTCTCTGGTCATCATTCATATCTTAGGAGCAGAGGGGGAGACGTTTGGTCAGATACTGATTTGGTGACACTAATTGTTGGTGTCCATCTTGAAACTGTGCTGCTGAGCTGAAGACGTCTGTGAAGCATCTGTGTTTCTGAATTTGTAGCTTCTTTGCAGCAGTGTCCATATTTGAACCTCTGTCATGGCTCCACATGACTCTGGACAGACATGGATGAAAACTGTTGAACCTGATTGGTTTACAGAGGCAAACAACTGCAGGGCGATACATTTTGTTTTTTGTTTGTTCCCATTTCTCCATAATAATAATAATAATAATAATAATAATATAATGATATAATGTTTATTTGCATCCACATGAAATCTGGGTAAAGTGAGGCTTTATTTCCCAGCTAAATTAAAATCTTTAAATGTCTGAGGTTAATCAGTCGGCATGTAGAAGAGATTTTTAGAGATATTTTCATTCAGTGTGTGTTTTTGTTTTCACTTCTCAGAGTCCGACGAGCAGTGACGACACCTCAGGAGGTAAAACAGCCTGAAACTGTGAAATATAATTGTTTCTTGTCTTTGGTTTGGAATCAGATATTTGATTTGTGCTTCCTTCAACACTGGGCCGTCTGTGCTGTGGTTCACTGAGTTCATGTGTGCAGATAATTCATCTAAACCTGATTTTTATTTTTTTTAATTCTTAGATCCAGCGACAGATTCAAAGACTCAGGCGTCAGACGCTGAACCCGCAGATGGAGCTCCTGCAGAGAACAAAGAGGGTAAAAACAAACTGTTGGACTAAAAAGAAAACACTAAAACTAAAGAAAGTTTGTTCTGCAAATTTTTATTTTTATGATTTTAGTTTAGGCCTCTGCTCGAAAATTACATGATCAAAATTAATAGAATATTTCTCAGCAACTATGAATAATCCTGCTATCAAAGTCAAACACATCAGTAGACAGGCACCAGTACTGATCTTACTGGGTCAGATTAATGAAGAAATACAACAGAATAAATGAAAGATTTTGTCCTCGTCTAACAAAACTTTACTGTGGAGTGAATACCATGTCATAAACAATTTAAACAATTTCCCTCCGGGGATTAATAAAGTATTCTGAATCTGAATCTGAATCTGTAAAATATCTTCCAAGTAAAAGGTAAAATAAGGAAGGCCAAACCCAAGATGAAGATAATAAATAGGAAATAAAATCAATAAGAGAACAATAAAATAGACAGACAGCTCAGATAAAATCAGGATATGCTTTCTGATAGAAGTTTTTAGGAGGGACAGTTTTCAGTCTGGACTCTGGAACAAGCAGAAGACGTCTGCCCGAGGATCTCAAAGCAGGCAAAGGTTCATAAGGGACCAACAGGTCTAACATGTAATCTGGAGCCTTAAAAGTAATCAATAAGATTTTAACATCAATCCTACAACAAACAGGGAGCTGATGTAAAGAGGCTAAAATCTGTGTGATGTGATCAGACTTTTTGGTTTTGGCTTCATGTCCTGTGACAGGTAACCAGTAGATAGCAGTATTTGTTCGGTGATGTGCTGTGACCCTGTTACAAGGATTTCTGTGTGATTAATAGGGAGGTACAGCTCAGAGTTATCCAGTGGAAAGGGAGACAAAGAGATGACAACACCCAAACTATTATAGATAGTAGTTTAACAAATGGAACTGTACCATCCTGTTTTAAACACGCTGCAGTCCTTCCTCTCATTAAAAACCTGAACCTTAACAAATATGTACTAAAATATTTTCGTTGCATCTCCAAGCTTCTTTTCTTGTCCAGAGTATTGGAGAAAACTGTCTCCTCACAGCTTCTGTCTTATCTAGCTAATAACAACATCATGGAGAAATGTCAGTCAGGTTTTAGGGCTCGACACAGCACAGAATCTGCCCCACTCAAAGTGTCAGCTGACCTGCTGTCTGTAGATAGTGGTAAATGTGCCATTTTAATCCTCCCAGACTTCAGTGCCGCCTTTGACAATGTTGATCATTGTGTATTATTAAACTGTCTTCAAGAACTGGTTGGCATCCAGGGAACTGCCCTCAAGTGGTTTGCCTCCTATTTATCAGGTCAGGTCGGTGGCCTCTCCTCCTGCTCTTCTGCCCGAATCACTTGTGGTGTACCTCCAGGTTCTGTCTTAGGGCCCATTTTATATGTTCTGTACATGCTTTCTTGAGGCTCCACCTTCTGCCAGCACAATGTCTCTTTTCATTGTTGTGAGGACAACACACAAAGAAGTGTTATTTTGGTATTTTAGTTAAAATTTTTACCCTACTCACCTGGAGTGTCTCCCCTTAAAGACAATACTTGGGAAATCCAGTGTATATATGTATATATATACATCGGATATATATAAACAAATACAGATAAATTTCTTTGATAATAATATTAAAGCAGGTTTGTATGTGTCTCCTCTCAGAGTCAGCGTCCACTCAGAGCGTCTCTGTGGTGTTGGACAATGTGTCTGACAACATGTCCAGAGATCTGCTGTGCATGCTGGTGGAAAATGTCTCGGGTTTGGACGAGAGCGGCTACAGTCTGGAGATCATCTGGGAGACCAACAGAGCCGTGATCACCTTTAACAAACCTGCAGGTAAAGAACACGAGTCTGCAGTAAATACACAGATCCACAGCGTTCACCACGTCCAGACCAGATCCAGACGGATATATATTTAAAGCTCCAGTGTCAAATTCAGGGGGACATATTAAGAAGTGTATAATAAGTAGTATCTTTTCTTTAGTGTCTAATCGCCTAAACACAAGAATCGCTGTGTTTTTGTTACCTTATATATACAAAGGGAGCAGGTTCTCATCTACAGAGATCACAATGTTGCACTGACATGTTCCTACAGTAACTCAGAATGGACAAACCAAACACTGGCTCCTAAATGCACACGGGTGAAGTTAAAGTTCGGCAACTGGTGGAACTGTTTACAAACAGGAAGCGACAGTTCCTGCCTGGTATCTTTTAATCTGAGAAGGAAAACCAAATTAGAAAGTAAACACACAAAGGAGCGAGGGCAAAATATCTGATTTAACAGACCCTGAACCAGTCAGGCCTCCTTTATTCTTTGTCACCTGATGAGCCTGTTTTAGTTTTAAGGAGTAATCTGGAGTACTTTGCAGATGTGGAGAGGTTCCTGGGTCGGTCCAGCCAGAAGCTGCAGAGACATGGACTGACCGCTCGGCCGCTGGAGGCAGCAGAGAGCGTCCGAGTAGAGAGTCTTCCTCCAACTGTAGTTAAAGGTACGTCAACTGTTGAAATACTGTTTCCTGTCTGCAACATTTTTCGTCTGTGGTGACACGTTCTTCACCTCTGATTTCTCTCCAGAGATGTTGGAGTTGTATTTTGAGAAGAACTGGACCCTGCCAGAAAATATCGTCATGATCCCGAGCGAACAGGCTGCCATCGCGACTTTCAGTGACCCCAAAGGTTTTTATTTAGTTTCATTGTTCATCTTTTACTGACTGATTTTTAAAGTGTGTTCTAGCCTTGAAGCAAATATCTAGAAATCTAATGAAACAAGCTCAGAGAGACTAAACAAGTAATACACTGTTTGGACAAAAGTTTGTGGACACCTGGACATTTTACCCACATTTAATAGTGTGACGTGTGACTCCAGCTTCATGGGCACTCATCTGTTGCTGTATCGGCCTCCACTCCTCTGGTTTCTGGTGCGTTCCACCAGATTTTAGAACCTAGTTTCAGGGATTTTCTGCCGATCAGCCAACATTAGTATTAGTGAGTAGGGCT